CCCTCAACTTAAAACCATTTCCCCTTCTCCTGCTGTTATCAACCCTTTCAAAGAGTTGACTCCCCTTCTGTTTGTAGGCTCTGAAAGGCTGCAATGAGGTCACCCCACAGCCTTCTTTTCTGCAGGGTGAACAAGCCCCGCTCCCTCAGCCTGTCAATGAAGTATCCAGTATCCAATGAAGAGGATCCAACACAGGTATGATAATTAAAAGCAGATTCAGCGTGCCATCTCCTGCCTTCATTAATTCTATATGGGGATTTCTCTGACCCACAGCTAGCAATTCCTTCCTCCTTCACAGAGAAGCACTGACAGGAGCTGAGCAGCCCCATGCAGCTGGCAGGCACACCGAGCCATGTTTTACCTGCAAACGATCACCAAAAATGCTAATTTAGAATCATAGAATCGCTCAGGTTGGAAAAGATCTTAAAGACCATCAAGCCCAACCACAACCTAACCATATTACCCTAACTCTAGCAGCCCTCTGCTAAACCACGTCCCCGAGCATCACAGCCAGGCTGCTTTTAAACACATCCAGGGAAGGTGACTCAACCTCTAATGCCCAGACAGAGGTATCTGAAGAGAGCAGTAAGGCCTCCCCTCAGCCTCCTCTTCCCCAGACCAAACAGCCCCAGTTCCTCCACTCTCTCCTCACAGGCCATATTCTCCAAGCCCTTCCCCAGCCTTGCTGCCTTTTTCTGGACCCGCTCCAGCACCTCCACGTCCTTTCTGTACCGAGGCGCCCAAAACTGAACACAGAATCTCCTCCCCAAGCCTGCAGGGCTCCCTGGGGGACAGGCAGGGTACGGCTGGGCTCTGAGCGCCCTCATCAACCCGAGGAGGCCCCGCACCCCTCACACACAGCTCCCTCGGGATGCCGACCCCCTCCCCTCGCTCTCCTCGCCCTCTACCCGCCCGTTTCCCCACACAGAGCCGCTCCCTCCCGCCGCTCACCCGCCGCCCGGGCGATGGCCCCGCGCAGCCGCCTCCAGCTCATGAGGGGAGGGGGGCAGGAGGGGGGGGGGGGG